TAGGAGGTGGAGGCAGAAAACAAAGATGGATTGTAAATATCCCTAAACAGGACTGCACAGGAACACTGCTCAAACTGTCCAAAAGCGCATCCAGAATAAGGGAGCCTCGTTGGAAATTGGGGAACTTTGGCAGGTCATCAACATGCTTGACACAGGGCATGACGTGATAAAGGTGTTTTGGTCCCTGTCCACCTGGAACTGGTTCACGCTCGGTGTTGGCGGCTGAGTCTATAGCTCTTATTTATGCAGTTGCTCAACAGCTTGGCTCCTTTTTTGGCTCTGGGTCTTCAGCAAAGGTGAAGTGGTCAGGGGGAGAAGTCACAGTTTGCCTAGCAACTAAAGTGAAACAAGTACTTTTTGCATTGCTGGGTCCTGGCAAGCACAGCCTGTGAGTATAATGACGTGTGATCGCTTATCCTCCTCTCCATTCCCTTACGGTAAACCATGTTAACATTAAGGATGTCAAGGTCTGGCAGAATGCATTGACACAGTGACTGTAACAAGGCCTAGCAAAGATAGGATGGTGCACGATAGAGCAAGGTTCAGGTCTTTGGTTTGTAAGATCACTATGAGTTAGAGTCGACTTGCTTACAAGATGAAATGAATGACCTTCCTCTGGAATGTTTACCTATTAGAGGCAAGCACTACTGGTTCTTGCACGGGAAACAAGCAAGCACACAAAAACGATGGAACAAGTTGAAAACTGAAGCTGTCAAGGCTTCAAGTGGACGGTAATCCAACTATGCTCTTATCAAGTACTGTGCACCATACCAATACTTCATTTAACAAGAGTGTTATAAATACCATGAACCACGATGAAATATAAATACAGAAGTTGAATACACACGCTAGAAAGTTTAAATAATAAAGAATGTAAGGCTAAATTGGCAGCATCAGGATGGATGGCGAAGAGATTGAGATTGCTCACAGCTTTAGTTTGCTTGGCTCCACAGTCAACATTCTTGGCACCAGCAGTCAGGAAATCAAAAAGCGTATCGCGATGGGAAAGTCTGATGTTAGGGACCTCTCTAAAGTACTCAAGAGCAACAGTGTCTCTCTGGAGACTAAGGTACACCTGATACAGGCCACAGTCTTTGCAATCGCTTGTTA